TTTGATCACACTGATCAGGCAAAAGAAAGAAAGAAAACAGAAGTAGGAAAGGAAGAGTTCCAACTCTCGTTATCTGCGTATGACGGGGTCTTTACATACAGGACAGAATGCTTCCCAAGCCTCCTAAGACTGGTAAATAAGTTCAGCAGAGTGGTATGATACAAAGTCAGTAACCAAAATGATAGTGCTCCTGTATACCAGTTATGAGTCCAATGTTATGGTTTGTGTCTAGTTGTTCCCCCAAAGCCTCATGCAGTAATGGGGAAGACTTCTAGAGTTTGTGATTAATTTATGGACCAATGCTGGGTGAGAGTGTTGCTGGGATTAAGATGTGAGTGCTACACCCACCCTGGGGTAGATAGCCTGAATCTGCATTGGGGAGAGAGAAAAGCTTGCTTTCTGCTTCTGTTTCACCTTTTTGCTCTTGGTGTTTGGCTGTTTTCCACTGCCGTGAACAGCTGCCCTCTGACATGTGTCACTCTGCCTTGGAGCTAGTTCAGTATGGACTAAAACCTCCACAAACGGTGCATTAAACCTTTCCTTTTGGGCATCAGTTATTTTGTCCTAGCAATGAGAAAAAAGTAACTGACACATCCACCAAGAAAGACATTGGGAAAATGGTTGCATTGACAGTATCTTCCACACCCACAAGAATGATGCTAGCTAGGCCCATATCTCTTACCCTGTATTAAACTCAAATTACAGTCAATCTAATTTTCTCTTTAATGTTAAATTAGCATACTGGGAGTCACTGATCTGTGAAATAACAAATCTTAACGCCTCTGATTATTGCAGTTATATAAACTCACCTACAAGGGATTATTTTTTTTTTTAAGATTTCAATTGTACTTTATTTCTTCAATAGGCCATATTTTAATGGATACACAGCACTTTTACTTGGCATCAATTATGATTCCATTTAGAAATAATTTAGCTGTATCATATCAGCTGGCATGATTACTGATCTCTCCATTCCTTGAGGGTGACTCTGCCAACAGGGGAAAGGTTCCATTCTGTTCCAGTTTGTGTTGCTGTGTAGGTCCACGCAGCAATACAGAATGTGGCTCCACCAACTAAGATAGCATTACCATATTTGTCATGGAAATCAGGTGTATGTTTGGCTCTGCCTTGTCACCATTTGTTGAATGCTTCGCACTGGAAAATGACCTAATGCGTTTTTGGCCAAGGGAAACATCGTGGAGTTGAAGTTGAAGCTGTAGTTACTGCAGCTGCCGGCTTGGTGCAAATTACTTCCAGATACCCTTGCAAAGAGCCAAGGGATGATGTCTTTAAGGTACCAGTTTGGAAGCGGAGACTGGATGCTTATGAGATACTGACCTTGCCAATCAATATCTTGATCATGAACTTCCCAGCATGCAGATTTCTAGAAATAACTTACTCTTGTCACAAATCACTAAGTCCCTCCTATTGTGTTATAACACAGCTCACAGGATAGGGTAGGAATTAGCACCACAGGGGTGTAGAGTCATTGCCACAAATATATGAACATGTGGAAGCAGCTTTGAATCCAGGTAATGGGCAGAGGCTTGATGAGCTTTGTGGAGCAAGCTAGAAAAAGCCCAGATTGTCATGAATGGAGCACTGAGGGTGATCCTAGTGAGGTACTACTGTACTTGGCGAGACTCTGCCTCAACCCCTTCCCTAAAGCTCATGCTTTTTCTGCTATCAATGTCCTTATATGTTACAGAGATAACTTATCAACCCTGTGTCTCAGTCGGGGTTTACAGAGGAATGGATTTAATACAGGTCACACAATTTATAGAATTGTATCATATTCACCCAAATGCAGAAGAGTGCAGAAGATCTGTCCATGCACTAGACACCCAAAGAATCTAGCTGAGGGCCTGGATCCCACGCAGTGTCCTGTGTGAGTCCAGCTGAAGCCCTAGAGCCCATGGCAATGTCCTCCACAAGTTCAGATGGAGACCTACAGCCCACAACAATGTCTCATGCAAGTCTCTACCAAGGACCTTCACTGGGAAGACCCAAAGGTCAGTGGTGGAAGCTAGAAAGTCTGCACCAGCTGATGAAGGATCTGTGCCAGCAGGCTGAGGGATCTATACTGGAGACAGGAAGTGATGCTTAGGGTCAGGACCAGAGCTCCTTGAAAGAAAACCATCCTCAGAGACAGTGAGGACTGGAGCTTGAGAACAGCTGAGTTCATGTCAGGAAAGCCAGTGTGACAAACTTCTCCAGGAGAATCAGTAGCACACCATCTTCTCAAGTTCTCTTTTTACGCTGTTGGCAGCAATCCCCAAGTGGGCTTTCCAAACCCAGAACCACATTGACTCAGTTCAGCTGGGTGTCCTAACTTGACCATTAGCCAACCCACTACATCCAGAATTCAACCTCATGTGCATAACAGTGCACTCAGTTTGAAATCAGGCAAGCTAAAAAGAAAGAAAGAAATTAAAAAAAAAAAAAGGAAACATGGAGAAGCAGCATTTTGTGTCCTTCCATCTAGTGGTCAGTGAATTATGACCAGAGATGAGACACAAGAGAGGTGACACAATAAGAGACTCAGGTAACCAAAGTCCTGGAAGCAGGAGGTGCAGCGTGCCATGCCATGTCACACAGGTTTGCATGGGGGAAATCCGCAGGGTGTGCAAGAGGCAGCAGAAGCTTCGAGAAGCCTTGATCATGGCCTTATTGGATTTCCCACAGGGAAGACCAGAGGAGGTAAGTAAATAGTCTGGGATTCCTAGTTTGAATAATTCCAGGGGCTGCTAAGCTCTAATGGTGGTCTTTAGTTGCTTGGTATCTGGACTGGGATGATTAAAGTAGAGGACTATTGTCTCTAGGAGTGTACAAGCTAGATAATAGAAGGATGGCTCTGGACTGATTACTTTGCATGACAAAGCTATGTTCCTCACTTTTATTTTTCTTTTTGAACAAAAAAGGGTCTCTCTATGTAGTTCAGGCTGCTTTGGACTCACAAGGATATCCTCCTGCCTCATCCTCCCAAGACCAGGAATTACAAGCATGCCCTACCATGCCTGTCCTTCCTTCCTATGTCTAAGAATTGGCTAGCCCTGAGAGTGGCAGTTTCTCCCCAGGCAGGGTTTGCTTGTATTATGGTTTGTGTATAGGTGTCCCCCCAAAAGCAGTCATGCTGTCATGGGCAGCTTCTGGAGTTTGTGATTGATTATTGTGGGTGTGGATGCTGCACCTGCCCTGGGGCAGGTAATTTGCATTTCAATTTAAGGAGGAAAGAGAAGCTAGCTGCTTGAGCTGATGCTACTTCTCCCTTTGTGCTCTTGCTCTTTGCTACCATCGTGAAAGGTTGTTCTCTGCCATGTGCCACTCTGCCTTGGAGCCAGCTGACTATGGACTGAAGCCTCCAGTAACTGTGAGCTAAATAAACCTTTCCTTCCTTCATGTTGGGTATTGAGTATTTG